ACTAACACCCGTTAGAGTTGACTAACAACCGTTAGATTGACTCCGATTTAGAGTATAAGATTCAAAATTTATTGAAGTTTAGGTTGTAAAATACCCTACAAAATTGTCCAGGTATGAAAATCCACGGCGCAGACAGTACGAATATGAAAACGACGTCGTTTTTATACACGTCAGCGTACACGTGTACGATGACTCAGCACCGTAACGGAGTTGACTAACACCCGTTAGATTGACTCCGATTTTTGCACGTTGTATCAAGTATAGGTATGAGATTCAAATTTTATTGAAGTTTAGGTTGTAAAATACCCTACAAAATTGTCCAGGTATGAAAATCTACGGTGTAGATAGTACGGGTATGAAAATCCCCTTTTCCCTAGACAAAATAGCCAAGTCGCTTAATCTTTCTTGTGACATACTCGACCGAAGATAAGACTTGATTAACTTCAACTTTGAAAAACTTCTTTTAGCAGATGCAAGTGAAACTGGAATCGTCATCAGTATTCGATAAGCGATCCATGCATTCGGATAACAATCTTCAACCTTTATTAAAAAGTCTAACACCTCAATTGGCCTCTTTGTTCCAGTTGGTAAAGCTTCTCTTAGAACTTTTAGTTCACAAAACAGATCGTTACCAACAATATCTGAATGGTCCCCATGAGTTAGAGAATTTTCAAGATTGGTACAAGATGCCATCAAACTTTCATCGCTCGCTGACTGCAATTTCTTCAAATCAAACAAAAATCCAAATATTTGTTCATACCTCTCAAATTGTTCAAATCTTTTCTGAAGCGAGCTTAAAGCTTGATCCATAATCTGAATGAAGTAATCAACTCTAAAGCTCTCCTTTGGTAATAAAACCACACTTCCTTCAACTCTCTCTGATTCTTTACCATAATTTCTTTTTCTTTTAATGACCCGCTTTGCTTTCTTGGGAATACAACCTCAATCTCCATCGAATCTGCAATTTCTTTAGCTTCCAATTTTGCTTTTTCAAAACCTGAATCTCTGTACTTTTGAAAATAAGAAACCAGCCCTTTCAACTGAGGGATAGCAACATCTATGTTCATATCTACAGATTGCAAACTCTTACTAACAATGTTCACAGCAGAAAGAAGATTATACCAAATTACCATGGAAACCAAAAGCTCAAAACTTCCAATTCCATGTGTTTCACTTGTTGCAAGACATTCAGCATCGCTCTGTTCTTTCGGATCATCACTATTCTCAGCAATATAAACTAAAGCATCCATGATTTTGGGAGCTTGAAATCGTATTGCTTTAACACATTCAACATGACTCTCCAATCGAGTATGTGACAAAGGCTTGAGTGTTAGACCTCCCACCTTATCTTCAAATATTTTCCACCGCTTAATTGAAGATGAAAAGAAACAATACGTTTGTTGAATGATTCCGAAAAATGATATTGCCTTTGAAGAAATGGTTGCCATATCACAAAGTGCAAGATTAAGACTGTGGCAACCACAAGGTGTGTAAAATGCCCTAGGATTAATCTCAAGTAATCTTTTCTGCACTCTTTTATACTTTTCTTTCATATTCGAGCCATTATCATAACCTTGACCCCTAACATCATCAATGTTTAACTCAAAAGCAGCCAACACATCTTGAAGCTCACAGAAAAGTCCTTCTCTAGATGTATCATCAACTTTCAAAAATGTCAAGAAGAATTCTTCTATCGTAGTTGAAGTGGCTGAAACATCTACATAACGAATGATGACAGTCATTTGTTCGTGATGGCTAATATCTGGAGTGCAATCAAGGATTACAGAAAAATACTTTGCATCTTGAATTTTCTTGATAATCCTGGCTTTTATATCATTAGCTAACAAAGCTATCAACTCATTTTGAATGTTGTTGCTGAGATAATGACAACGAGCTTCACAACTTTTATATCTTCTAAGATGTTCTATCATCACCGGATCAAAATCAGCAAGCATCTCAATGAAACTTAAGAAATTCCCATTACTATCTTCTCCAATCTTTCCATTGCTCCCACGAAACGCTAGATTTTTTTTAGCAAAAGTTTTAACCACATAAATGATCCTGAGCAAAACTTGCCTCCAATGAATTCTCTCTTTATTCATTTCATCTTGAGCATATTTATCAATGGTCTGATTTTTCTCTAGCCTCCGTTCTAATTCCACCCACTGATTCATTCAAAGAATATGTTCCCGACTAGATTCATGCTCTCTAAGCCTTTTCGAAATGTTTCTCTAATCACTGAATCCCGTAGATGCCAATTGACCTCTGTCTTTCTAGTTGAACAATTTACAACAAAAGCAAAAAAAATTGTTAAATGCTTTTGAGTAAACTAACCAACGCCGATCTTGTTTTCTCCCATCACTCATTTCCCTTGCATAATAAAAATGCGAGAAATGCCTTTTAAGGCCATAAAATCTCTCCATTCATTCCATCTTTTTTTATGTCTTTCCAGTTTCCACGATCATAGATATCTAAACATCCCCAATTCTCTCTCATATATCATCACCCTTTTCATCTTTAGTCTTATCTTCATCTTGTTTCTCATTCACATCCTCCTCATTTCCTACATTCAGATTCTCTATCTCAACAACTATTTTTTCTCTCTGAAACTCAGCCATATTCTCATCCACTCCGTCATCTCCGACATGATCATCAATAGTTTCAGATTTTTTGAAATACATGAAAATACCGTTCTCTAGAGATTTCACGAGTGCTTCTCTTCGGTTTTTCTTTTTTTTTTTAATTTGTCTGCTTCACATGGTTCGTTCTTCATGCTCTTCGAAGCATTTTTCTGAAATTTAAAAGTAAAAGCAAAGTTACGTTATTTGATCAAAACAAAAATTGTTATTTATTACTAGAAAATTCATGTTATGCTTCAATTTGATAAACGTTTAACCATAAAACCACTATAATCTAAAAGTCTCAATTATAAACATTACGTATTACGTTTTTTACGGACTTCACCTAATCCAAACAAGTGAACGACCAAACCAAATCCCAAATCAAAATTAAAATATTGAAATCCCTCTCTAAAATTTATCAAGAAGAAAACTATAATACTAAAGAAACTTACTTGTGATTGTTGATAAAGAAAAAAAAAACTTGAGACGTGAGAAGTGGCAGGCAAAAAGACATGAGAAAAATGTGAAAGGTTCTCTGAGTTGCCCTAATTTATTTTTATTTATTTTTCTAATTTAATTAACAATATATATTTTAATTCATTTTCTTAAAAGACAGCATAGTGACATAAGAAAAATTAGGGCCTTAAATTTTTTCCTAAAATAATGGGCCACAAGTGAATGTTTCCTTTTAACTCACATAGCCACGGGCCTGTGTATCCTAAAACTTCGATATCATTATCTATAAATGATGTGTTTTCTTTGAATCTTGTTTTCAAATTTTGTATTACATACTTGAGTCTGCATTTATCTAAGACATAGATAAAACCATAAAAGTTTGAAAAAATTTCTGAAAATGTATTCTACAAAAACAGAGTGTTCATTTAGTTGCATTACATTTAGGATCGAGTCTAGGATGTTTCATATAGGATTGTTGCATATGCATAGGAGATTATGATGAGATAGCCTTGTAAGCATGTTGGTTCACTAGATAGACTCAATGCCCTCGTTGCTAGTTGTCTGATGCATAGTCAATGAAATTGAAGTAAAACTGCACCATGTCTTGAATGCTCTACTCGGTCACACTGTCATGATTTGATACCATTCCCTATCAATTTGAACTAAAAATTTGATTTACAATTATCATGTCTTAACATCAAATTTGAACTCATTGATACCATGTACAAACTTGGGTTTTCTTTCAACTTTTCACCACCCTTGCTAACCCAAGTAGCTGCTTCCACCATAGGAGCAGTTTCCCTAGCCCTTAACCAAACCTTTCTATTATGCCCTGTTATATCTCGTGTGTGATTGTGAGGCCTGTTTTAGGATTGAGCTTGGTAGAAAGTGTTAGGTTTGAGCCGACAAGAGTAGTGTCTCATGTAGTTCTAGTCCATGTTTTCAGGACTAGATAGGACTAGGTGGGAGTCTATTTTTGGGTGGGGATCGAGTATATGAGAAAAAATAAAAGAAAAAGGTTGATGTTTCTAGGAGAGAAGGAAGTTGAGAAATAAGTTAGTCTAGTAATGGATTTTGGGGAACTAAAAATTGAATAAATAGGCTCTGTAACAAAAGACGGTGAAAGTCTAGAAAAGTCTTTATCATAAGAAGATAACAAGAGCCATATTTGTCAAAGAAAACCAAAATCCACTAGATCCATCAAAGTAAAAGAAAACTTCTCCTTAGAACATAAACAGAGAAAAGAAAGAGTGGCTTGATCTAAGATAAAAATGAGAAAAAAATGCCTTGAGTGCAAAGGGTAGAACTAGGATCATCTTCTGGGCTTGAGGATAGTACCATCTGCTGTTGTATACACGGTTTATGTTATTGGGTAGATGAGATACTATTCATGTATGCATAGGTTGGCACTTACCTTTAGCATTCTCCTAAAGCTCAGTCCATTTCTTTTGAGAGTCCCATGTTACTAAACTTGAACCACCTTAAAGGGATTGTCTTTGTCTCCTAACCTTCACCTCAGGCAAATGAGTTCATTGATGGTGCATTGCTTGATTCACGTTCCAAAACTAATGAATGTTAAAGGGATTGGTTGATTTGAAAGCATGTGTAGGTCGAGTATAAGAGTCGGATTAAATTATAGCAATACATGGCTAACGTTTTTGAGTAGAGTTCGATCATATCACATCCTAGAACTACCAACTTGGACCTTGATTTTATCTGTTTTATCTGATGCTTTGGTTCTGAATCCCCACCTTCAAACCTCTCCTTCATCTTGTGTTTACTTGTTTGCTTGAGGGCAAGCAAAGACTAAGTTTGGGGGAGTTGATATGTCTATAATTTTCATGATTTACACATCCATTTATCAACATTTTGATTCTAGTTTCATTCATCTTTCATAACATTCATCATCATTTTGTACATTTTGCATGTTTAGGTGTGTCTAGCATTAGCCTTGCATGCATTTTGCATTCTGGAGTTGTTTCAGGTACTTTGGAGCTATTGGTGTTCAAAAAGAGGAAAAACAGAGCGGAAAGTCATATTTTGACCAATCTACTCGATCACCAATAGCAGAGAGGGAAGCAGTCAGCTCAGCAGGCCATCCAGACAGTTCTACTCGATCGCAGAGGAGAAGGAGCAGTCCATCCTGACAGTTCTACTCGATCGCAGAGAAGAGGAGGCAGTTCATCTTGACAGTTTACAGTTCTACTCGATCACAGAGAAGAGGAAGCAGTCCAACCTGACATTTTACCCACATACTAGATCACAGGAGAGAAGATGCAGCCCAGATCATGCCATCAACCAACCTACTCGATCACCACCTCGACCCTCTGATCAATCCGCACTCAACCAGACAACCTGAGCATAGGAAAGAGAAGAGGAGAGAAGGAACCACTCGATCGCGACTTTGATTTACGCTCAATCATGAAGCCCACTTTTAGCCCACATACTCGATCACATCGTCCTTGGGCCTGTTAAGTGGACTCGAAGCCCACTTTCTTATCTTTGCGTTTTTGTTATAAATAAGTCTCTAAGGGTTTCCCCTGAGACACAGAGAGAGACATCGAGTACCGATTTCTGAATACAGTCTTGTTTAGTTAGTAGCCGCTTTTGTTTCTGCAACTTTGTATTTTCGATTCTTCTAAGTTATTAAGATTTTGCTTTCATTTCCTTGTTCATTTATGTTTCATTTTCCTTTAATCTTTGAAGTTATGCAATCATCAATTGTTTCTATGTCTTTGAACATGTTGTCTGAGTAGTGACTAGAATTTCTGAGGATGGGATAGAGTAGTTGTTAGACCCCTAGTCGATTCTGATGGTTAAGTGTAGTTTTATTGAATCCCTTCTGGATTAGTTATGTTTACTGCTTATTCCTGTCTGATCAAATGGAATTCGATCCAAAGCATTCCCGCACCCAAAAGGTGTTCGATGGAATGCTTGATCCACTAGTTCCAGAGATATTCGTCTCTATCCCAAGGGATTGGCCGTTTAGAGCGTTTATCGGTTCTTATTGCTTGCATAGTTAGATTCCGTAATGTGAATTAGTCTGGGCTAGCTTTGCTTGAGGATTTCTGTCGCGGGAGTGAATTGATCTGTTGTTGAACCTGTTGTCTAGGGATAGCTTCATTGAGAATTGTTAACCATCGGAATTGATTAGGGAGACCACACTATTCGATTACCCCATCCTTAGGAGTTTCTTATTCAATTGATTTATCTATCTACTTACCTGCTTCATTCACCTTCCCTGTTACTTGCTATTGAGTTTGATAATTGTCTGTTTTTGGACCCTTATACTCGATCACATCCTCCTTCTGGCAGTGAGCCTTGTGATCGAGTATATCAGTCATTTTTATGTATTTTTACTATTTTCTGCATCAATCACTAGGACTGTTAGAAAAACAACCAAATTCTGCTTTGCCTGACTTAGTGATTTTTGATCATATCTCATTTGTTTGCATCACACCTGATTGGATTATACCTTAAATACTACAATGACATCGTAAGAAATCTACTATCAATAAAAGTAACAAATCTTTGTAAATATTGTTACCCACGAAATTGTAGAATTTCCAATAACTTTTGAAATAATATATTTCGAACTTTTCCTAAATTAATAATATGAACTGCTAAATACCCGACCCTTTCTATGGTACTCGATAAAAGTAGTTGACCTGCCAAATACCCGACCATTTATCCGTATTCTACTATTTATTGATAATGCATGTGTAAAAAAAATCTATAACCGCATAATAATTTTACACTCCAAAACAGAAGTATCTGTATACAAAAAAGAAAAGAAATCATAAACATATACAACATATATTTCCTAAAAGTATAAAATTACAAACTTATGCTTTTACTTTTAATAATAGATATATTTATAAAATACAAGAAAATTTATAAAACACTAGTAAAATGGGGATTTATGGGTCGGCTATTAAAGCATGAAACAGATCGAGTAATGTGATGGGTATTAAGAAAAAAAAATACATGTTAGTCGACCCTTACACACACATGTAAAATAATTACACCTTTTATCCGACTCTAAGGTTAGAGGTACCCTTTTTTGAGATGGCTTTGAGTCGGATAACAGATCGAATACATGCAACATTTATCACTATGTGTATGCCTAAATCTTCCAGATAAAGTAGGTGACCTGCTAGATATCCGGCCCTTTACCAGTATCCAACTATTTATTTATAGTGCATGTGTAAAAATAAATTATGTAACTGCATATTATTTTCATATTTCAAAACATAAGTATTTGTTTACAAAAAATGTATAT